TTTAAATCTGGGGATGGAAAAATAGGAATTGTCCTATTGCTTAAATGTGATCATTAAACTTTATAGGGCTGTGATTTAACTAATTAAACTTGAGCACGTCATGTTTCAAAATAAAAAAGCAGTTAGCAATCACCAAATAACCCACATTTATGCCAACATGCCATGTTGTTTTGATCTACTGATGATGAATAATTCCTATTTTCTGTGATTTATGGTGTTTAAATCATACCTGTAAACTCACATTTCAGCCAAGAAAGTTTTGATGGCATTTTCCTTTCATATTACCTCCATATAATGCCCGTAATAACTTAGTGTTTACTTTATGTAACGGCTATATAATTCTGCTGTTCCACAAGCGCCACCTTGTGGCAAAGAGTGAATTTGCATATTCGCTTATATTCACATTTTACGCAGAACAGTGTTGTGAATGTTAACTGGCATATAAACAAGACAAAAAACGAAATTTGACAAATAAGTGTTAGGAAGCTTAAAAAAAAAAAAAAAAAAAGAGTTTTTTTGGGGTCGGGGGGCCTGCTGTAATGCTGTAGCCCAGGGGCCTTTGGTTATCTTAAGGCACCCCTGGTGATGTGTGAATATCAGCATGCTTTAAATTTGGCCGTGCATTATAAATATTTTGAACCAGCTGTCTGACATATGTGTTTTTCCTTATAACGGAGAAGAAAATTGATTGATAGGCAGCCCTAGAAACGTTGGAAACTGTTTTAAGTTTCCTGTTTTATTATACATCACATAATTCACCAAATTTCCACGATAGATAAATAGACTGTCTACTACAGTTTCTGTTAACCACATGAAAATCACAGCAAGCCAATAATAAGAGTAGAGACGATCCTTCCTAATGTTTGTGAAACGGTGTTGAATCAATTTAGTTTTCTGTGGTAGCGGCGCTATCTAGTGGTAGAACATACATACTGCATGCATTCTGAAGCTTTATTCATATCATTTTATTTTCTTTGGTTGTGAGCATTACACTTACTGCATCTTAACTGAAATGTATTATACTTACCAAAACTGGTGTCATCACTTAAGTTCGTCTTGACAATTTTTTGCAGTGCTTGCAGTGCTTGAGCCTGGTTTAAATGTTTGAAAATGATTAACAGTTTAGAAAAATTTCGATTTTTTTAATTATTTTTTTTTATGTAAATTTAGAAAAGTAATCAAATTTAATGTTACATTAATAAAGTAATTGAAATAGTTACACTACTTATTACATGTTAAATCGGGTAACTTGTAATCTGTAACCTGGAAATCTGTTACATTTCCAAAGTAGGCTAACCTTCCCAACACTGCATATCAAATATATACTGCATCTCACATTTTTTATTGACATGTCAACTGGCTAATATAAATAACATTCACATGTATATGATCACATGTTATGTGATATGGCAGTACACGTTTCCTCCATGCCATCTGCTCACTTTTCAGTTCAAAGGCAAGCAAACGACAGGAGAACATTGAGGCACCAGTTTCTTTGGCACAATATAAAGTGACTGAGTGACATTAGGTGCACTTTATCACAAATACTGTACAAATAGAGGCAACAGAATGTGAAAATGAATTGCATTGTTGAAATAATACTGTACACTCTAACCCATATGCTTGCTTTTACTGAAGGATTGTTGCTTGTGAAGTTCTTCTTGGTATCTGATCAGCATGAAATGGCTTTAAAGCACTAGGCCTGAATGTTTCTAAGGTAATTGGTTCAGTATTTAGTTACATGATATTAAACAAAATTACTTGACCCCTCCACATGAGACCTATGCAGAGACAAGAGTGGTTTTTAAATTAGGCCGACATCTGGACAATAACATCTGTGATGTTTGGCATAACACATTTCATTTGTACGCTTGATTGGTCGGTGTATTTAATTCCATTTACAGAGATTTGACAGGCAGACACTTTTTATCCAAAGCAACTTTTAGTATGAAACATTTTTTCAGTATATCCTTAGTAACCCATTAAAATGGCTTTGAAAGTCGACGCCAATAGCCTAGTGGGCAGTGCGCCGACATATAGTGCCGCTGCGCTCTGGGCGTCCCGAGTTCGAGTCCCAGCTCGTGGACCTTTCCCGATCCCCCCCCTTTCGCTCTCCTACTTTGCTTCCTGTCACTGCTATACTGTCCTATCAAAATAAAAATGCCAAAAATAAATATTACCAAAAAAAAAATGGCTTTGAGGGCTTTAAGACCGTTGTTGTTGTTGTTGTTTTCATAGGTTCTGTATTAAAGAGTCATCAACAAGGAAGAATATTGTTTAGGTTTTTGTAATTTCATTGGTCAACCAGATTCCAAATATTTTGTTGTTGCTGCTCTTTTTGCTTAATGTTCTGCTTGAAAAGTGCACTTTTCAGTATGAACTAAACTATGACCTCTCAATAATACCTGATCCATGCAGTAAAAAAAAAGACCTTTGACAAACCAGATAAAACGCTGCAGTCGGCGGTTTGTTTATTCATGTGCTGTAAGATCAGCCCATAAAAGTTTATAGGACCTTTCGTCACATTCCATCTCTATATGATATACAATGCATAGTGCAATACCAATAAAAGCACCAATTAAGGTTAAAGACGCAAAATACATTAAACAAACAAAATCACGTTTGATAACAAAAATTGGTTTTATGATTTAAGACCTCCTGAATGAACTTTCCAGTAATAAAATCCCCTCTGCTGCTTTAAGGATATTATGGCATTCTTGGTATTAGTGTTAGTAATTACTTTTGTGCAACTTAAAAAATTTAAGGATCATCAAGTATAAACCTACATTAATTCTTGGGATATACTGTATGGTAGCCATTGCATCTCATGCCTATTTACACATTAATAATTTAATTTAATACTAATTCTTAATACTTATTTTTGACATCAAAGTAGATTAGTTTTATTTTACTTCAAAATTATATCTTCTGTGCAACAAAATAGGATAATTTTTTAGGTTTACTGGGAATTTCAAGATCCGAAAGCACTATGAAAATATCATAAAAGCGATCCATATCTCATGTGCACTATTGTGCAATTTTGAATGCAAGTGTAAAATAAAGCAATAAGCCCCGTGAAGCCGTGGTTTACAGTGAATTTATAACAGCTAAGGGGCGTTGTTAGGCACGACGCGAAGCAGAGTTAGCTGTTATAAATTCACTGTAAACCACGGCTTCACGGGGCTTATTGCTTTTATAAAATGGTTATTCCATATATGTAGTTAGGTTTCACAGAATAAAACAGAGCAAATAAAGTGCAATGATATTAATAAAAACAGTATTCTTCCACCAAACAGTGTAGTTCCTCAGAAACAGTTGTGGTTTCAACAAAGTTGTTGCCGAGCAACACAGAAGTAAACAAAGGTGTATGTTTGTAGTGTAATTTACAACAGCTTCGAACGCGGCTCAGCCAATCAGAATCAAGGACCGGAACTATCCGTTTTATAAATGACAATAAAGGTATTCATATAGTCAGAGTCTGCTGGAGCCATCAAAGAGATTTGTGAGGAACAAACCAAGATTTTGCGTAATTATTAACTTATTATTAACCAAAGTTCCAAAATTAACGTCAAAAGTTGTGTGGCTTAAGACATGGCAATTCATTGTCATATGATTTTAAAATCAAAGTACTTTTGGACCACTTTTATGATGCTCTTTTGACATTTTGGGGCTTGACAGTCCCAGTCGCCATTGACTTTCATTATTTCAAGTTATTAAAATTTATATTTTTGGGTGAACTATATATTCAATGCATCCCAGTTTATTGCATATACTTTTTGAGCATGCAGTTTCTCAAGTCAAGGTTGGCCAAACTGTGCAGCACTCTGGAACCATATTCTTTCCACTTCCTCTTTACCCAGCTCCCAAAGACGACAGAGATGGCGCACCCCTGTCCTGGCGGTGATCATCAAGTACTCCTCATTCTCTGGCTGCTGGATCACTGCGTGTCGGGCCAGAACCAGGGACTGGCAGAACCGACAGAGAACCAGCAAATAGAGCGAGTCTCTTTCTGCCTCATTGAGAGGAAAAACGCTTTCCCACCCCGCCACCACTGGCCCTCCGACGTCTACCGGATTGGGATTCTCAATCATCATGTACATGATGGTGATGGCCAGCTCAAAGACGAAATACCCACAGCTCATGTCTCCAAAATCAAGGATCCCAGAGATCTTGTACTTTGTAGGTCCATCGGGATTCACCAAGAGATTGTGGTCATTAAAGTCTCCATGGTTAATGCCTGCAATGCAATAAAAATGTTTAAAAAAGAACACGCTGACACAGAAGTGTTGACACCGAAATGAAAATAACATCTTACACTTGCGAAACAATGGTAGTTTTGGCACGACTTGGATCTGGTACTGCTCCAGAACGGCTTTAACAACCTTTTGTACAGGATCCCCATCCATCACATGAATATACTGGTTTAAGAGAGGAACGCTGGCGAGATTCCATATAAAATCTTCTCTCTGAAGGACGTTGATGTTTGGATGCTCCATCTTTATGAGAAAAAGCAACATAACCAAACAAATGCCTAAATACAAGCAATAATATGGGAAACATTTGGGGGGAAAAAAATGTTTAAGGCCTATTCACAGCAAGAACTATAACTGTAACTAGGGCTGGGTGATATTTGGCGTCTGCGATAATATCGTAATTGTTGACTATATCAAAGAAACATCTTGACAGCCCAAAAGCATTTACAGCGTAATAAAGCCTAGTAGAATGCAGTTAGATTGCTCTTATAATTCAAGTAAAGTAATGAAAGAAAAATGTATCACTGTGTGTGTTTTTGTTTTTGTATTATATATTTTAGTAATATCAAACAAACATCAGCGCAATTTTCCTAAATATTAGCGTGTGAGGGCGATCGCAAATGTGATATTAATTTTATACAACAGTTCAACAAATAATAAGTTAATATTAAGTGTTTTACATTTTAGACACATTATTGTCTGTTTGGCCAACGAAAATTGTTCCAAACAAAGCCGGAGCAAGTTTTTTGTTCCTGAATGAATCTGTTTTTGAACAAATCATTTGAGTCAATGATTCAGTGGTCCATTCATAAATCACTTGCTTTGTTTCTAAATAAATCAGCCTTTTTAAACGAATCGTCTGAATGAATGATTCAATGAATCACTCATTCAGACGGGGACTTGCTGCCACCTACTGGCAATTTTAGAGTCATGTTTATTTATCCATGACAGGCCTAAACCAGCCAAGGTACCAGCACAAAAACACACTCAGCAAAATATTGTTTATTTATCATTATTGGAAAAATTCCAATAAATGTTGGGATATAATTTTTCGTCAATACTGCACACCCTTAACTATAACCAAAGTTTTAAAAATCGTCCACATAGTAACTATAAAGACGTGTAAAAACAATAGTTAGAATCCTTTTCACAACTACTTTTTTCAGCAGATGCACACACAAAAAAAAAGCACTGACAGTCAATCAAAATACATCTGGCTTTAAAGCGCATGCTGCAAGAACATTCAATTATTAGTACACAACAACAACAACAACATGTATTTCTAAGATAATTCACACTGATTGAACTTGGCTGTTTCTATGATCTACTTTGGCCTACAATGATTTTGGGAAAAACAGCCCAGACATTACTGTCCATTGCTATGGACATTAATATAGTTATTATCGTCATAGTTTTTATTCTTGGTGTGTTTTAGAAAATAATTATATCGCGATACATATTGATATTGAATTATTGTCCAGCCCTAGGTTTAAGTTTTCCTTAATAAATGGAATCAGAGATTTTACTTGCAGTAAAACTGTATCCAATGTGGCGGCCATTTTCCCAACATCATACAAGATCTGAGGACTGCAGGTAATTTTGGCTACGGTAGTGCCAGGAAGGTAGGTAAGTAAATGCACTAAATATGTCTGCAGGCCAAAACCACAATCTGTGATAGCACACACACACACACACAAAAAATGTTAATTAGCATTTGAGTTACAATATAAATCCATTCAGTGTTCTCCATACACCCTTCTGAGAAATCTGTCATTGTTTACTCACCTTTAACAGGCATTTCAAACCACTAACCATCACGTCTTGCTGCATTTTAGGATTTAATATTTAATGAAATTAATAACTGACAGTTTTTCATACCAAATTCTTCCAGGCTCATGAGTTTGCCAGTCAGAGTGGGCAAAGCGGTCTGGGCAGGAAGGCCTCTTTGGTGTAAGAAGTTCATGGCGTGAGTCTGCAGCTCAATAAGCGTGATGTTGTGACTGTCTGCAGAGTTCATAACCTTCAGCACATATTCTCCACCCTCACTGGGGGCCACGTAAAAGTTCTGATCATCATAACTGGGCAACGGGCGAATGACGGACACGGTCCAGCCATAGAGTCGCTTGATAATCTCAGTAACCTGGGAATGGCTGAGATTTGGCTTTGATGCTTTTGTTGACATGGCTGAGGATGGAAAACAGTGGTTATTGGTGTAGTTTTCCTTAATAAATGGAATCAGAGATTTTACTTGCAGTAAAACTGTATCCAATGTGGCGGCCATTTTCCCAACATCATACAAGATCTGAGGACTGCAGGTAATTTTGGCTACGGTAGTGCCAGGCAGGTAGGTAAGTAAACGCACTAAATATTTCTGCGGGCCAAAACCACAATCTGTAATAGCACAAAAAAGAAAAAAAAATCAATAAATGTGTTAATTAGTATGAGTTACAATATAAATCCATGTATACACCCTTCTGAGATCTGTCATTGTTTACTCACCTTTAACAGGCATTTCAAACCACTAACCATCACGTCTTGCTGCATTTTAGGATTTAATATTTAATGAAATTAATAACTGACAGTTTTTCATACCAAATTCTTCCAGGCTCATGAGTTTGCCAGTCAGAGTGGGCAAAGCGGTCTGGGCAGGAAGGCCTCTGGTGTAAGAAGTTCATGGCGTGAGTCTGCAGCTCAATAAGCGTGATGTTGTGACTGTCTGCAGAGTTCATAACCTTCAGCACATATTCTCCACCCTCACTGGGGGCCACGTAAAAGTTCTGATCATCATAACTGGGCAACGGGCGAATGACGGACACGGTCCAGCCATAGAGTCGCTTGATAATCTCAGTAACCTGGGAATGGCAGAGATTTGGCTTTGATGCTTTTGTTGACATGGCTGAGGATGGAAAACAGTGGTTATCGGTGTATCAATTCATAACAGAAGCAATACATTGATCAGAAATCACTATATGGTGCAAGCTTTTTTTACTAAAAGAGGTAAAATGAATAGTGCACCCATTGGAAAACAAAATACAGATAAGGATATTTACAACATTATGTAAATGTCAGAATTGTTATTTCTAGGTGAACTATTCCTTTAACAAATGTTGTTTGCACTACAAATAATATCAAAAAATAAACAATGAGCTAAGATGAATCAACAAGTTTTAAAACTATTACAAATAAACAATGCGACGTCGTCGGGTTTAACAAACTGTCGTGTAAATTATCAAATTACACTTTAAGCATTAATATTCTCATGCATGAAATTCATGGAAAGTCTCGCTTCATGTGCACACTTGGTTTTTGGAGTCGAGCGGCGATTGCATGCAAAGAGATTTATAATAACAAATTATAAACCGGATAACGGATTGGGAATAAAGCTCAAAATACAATAGTACCTTGCTGAGTATTGTTGCTGGACTGCTCAGTGTAATGGGGATTCGAAGCTGCGGTCGCCGACGTGTGGAACGTCATTACGTCACAAAACAGAAGTACGCTGGTGATTCAGTTAGCTCATTAACATGTGACTCGTTTGCGCTAATCGGTTCGTTTGAATGATTCAGTTCAAACAACCGTTTAAAAACGATTCGGTGGTTCGTTATGTCATTTTATACCATTTTATGTCATTTATGCTCTAAACTTTAATAAAGACTCACAATACTATTGTAATTTATAGTAAATGCTATAGTGTTTTTGAACTATACTATAGTAAAGTGCATTATACTGTATATATTATAGTGTTTACAACACTTTGTTAATGAATGCTACAGCATACTGTAGCATTAGTGAACTGATAAACTGTAATGATTACTGTAGTATACTTTATATTTTTCTACAGTAAACTGTAGTGTATTGTAGTATAATATACCATATAGTTGTAGAAAACGCAGTACAGTATTGGGTGAAGTAATTTGTTTATATTACTATAGTTGTTATGTTACCACAGCAACTATAGAATTACCACAACAAATTAATTCAAGTACTTTACTATAGTATGGTTCAAAAACTCTATAGTATTTACTATAAATCACTATAGTATTTTTTCATGTGGGTTTATTAGGCTATAATTGTTGTTAATTATGGTTTTAAGTTAGGTTGTATTTAAGTGTGTATTATTATTATTCCATGTGTTCAGTTTGCAGCCATGATTCCCCTCATAAATGTCATTTAAAGCTCTAACGTTTTCTTAACACCAGCTGTGATTTGTACTGACTCCTTGTAATACGACACGGTTATTTAAACAACATATAAAGACGCAGCGTATATTTCCATCATCCATATAACCAAACTTGTGTTTTTGTTTTCGGTCTTGGATTTTGAAATTCTCCTGTACAAGCAAGTCGTTTTATTTGAAATGTCATTTTGTAATCTCTTAAACTTATAAATAGCCTGCTACGTTACATTTTACATCTCTGAAAGATGCTTTCTGTGACCAGTTTTTGGTGTAGTTACAGAATCTACCAGCAGGGGCTAACATTGTCATGCTAACCAGCCAAACCTTGATCTCTTGGGTGCCATGAGCAACCACAACCAATGGGCCTTTACGACAATTAATCATGGTTTTATTACGGTAAAAGTTTTTTTTTTTTTTGGCTTATTGATTACCATTTGTATAACCACAGTTTTACTACAAATACCACGGTTAAACTATGGTTAGTGTAGCAAAACCATGGTTAATTTGTGGTTACCATGGTAGCCATGGTTTGTTGGTTTTATTTGTAGTAAAAATGTTCATGAGGGGGTGCTACACTGGCCAAACAAGATGAATGAGAAAGCTATAGATAGTTTTCTCCGTAGACCTCCTAAGCTGTCAGCAAAAGTGTCGTTTGGTGGCATTATTTTGTAAATGTGTGGTCATTTTAGTCAGATTCTCTGAGCCGCACTTTTTATATTTAATGCAAAACAAACAAAAAAAGATATAATCTAAAAGGCAGTGACAGCAATGCTGATTAAACAATTTTCTTTAGCTTTCTTATATCCACTGACTGTGCATATTGTTGTGGGTTTTGAGGCACAGTATTGAGGGTACAAGGTTATGGTTTTATACCGCAACGAGAACAGGCTTTTTTTTTTACCCCCTTAGTCTGAACATGACTATATTACAAAACTCGTAACTATGTTGTTTGCCAATTATACAGGAAAAACACAGAGGAGGCAACATGATCTGTAGCATAGTTTAATGTGTTAATAAGTGAATTATTTTCTCTCTCTCCAGCATGCTCAGCTGAGTAGGCCAAAGCGGGTCTTACAGGTTCGTGAAGGGAAATGAGTTGGCGGCAGGCACACGCGACTTCTGAACAGAGGAAGAGTTGCCAGCGGCGTGCAAGCGAAACAGCAGCTCTGTATGTCAAAAGGGAAACGTTATATACTTCAGAAGCGCTCATGAGGCTCAGCATCCTGTGATTGTGCAGATACAGCCTGCAAGGCTCACATGCACAAATCTTACCTTTATGGTGAAATGAATACTGCATGATTTGTTTTTTCTTCATGCAAGTTGTCAATTTTATTGTATATAATTACATAGATATATAGGTCTACAGTGTGATATTTCAAATATTATACTACAAAAATATTACTCATTTATATCAGCAATATTTCTTTATTAAGGTGTTTTACCATCCCTTGCTTTTAATACAGCTTCCATGAAGTTCATCTTGGTGCTCCAGCTGTCAATGTTTCATGATCATGACACCATATTGTTTTTTTGCATTTTAACATTGGTGTCTATAATTAAAGTTTTACCAGATAAAGCTCTTTCATGGATGTTGGCTTTGTGAAGATCTCTGTGGTCAGTTTTTGTGGAAACAGTCTCTCTTCAGGGTGAATACTGAGATTTACTGTCACTTTGCTGCAAAGGTTCTGTGTTGTGTTTGATGGTTCATGATTTGTCCTTTTTAGATGCCTGACAAGTCACCTATTTCATCCACAGCTTACACTAAACACTGCTAAACACAACTTATGCTACACTGATACAAACTAGAGAATATACACAACAAAAATATAAAAGATATTCACAAGTTTGTCTTTTCATTATTTGGTCTACTACATCTCGGCCTGGTTTATATAATTTCCTGTTTGCAAGACCTCAAACTAAAAAAATCAATGGGTGAAACAGCTACTGTCATCATTTAGATGTGTTGTGTAAAACAAATTATCAACCCAACACACATGATGCATGGGTGAAATGGGGAATTTGGTGGGGGGGGGAGTGTATCTGCAAAGCAGTATAAGTGTCAAAAGTTTTACTTTAAATGCATTTGATTAATGGTTTAATTTATTCCTAGCTGTAATTCATTTTCCTTGTTCATTTGAAATATTTCTCCACAGAGACGATATATTGCATAATGCTCTTCAGCAGTTATTGGATGATTTAAAACGATGGACCATAATCCCTGGTGATTTTGATCATCTGGACAATTTTAAATGTAAGAATGCAAGCATGAGAGAAATAATGTTTTAATTAAACTCATTTAATTAACATCAATGGATACACGGTATATTCAAATCATAATTAAATATCAGATGAGCGCAGTACTTCATTTAGTATGGAAGGATATTCCAGACAGTTTTCAAAAGGAATTGCAAATTGTACTTTCAAGTGTGTTTTCCATATAAATTGTGACATAATTAGTGCTGTCAAACGATTAATCGCGATTAATCGCATCCAAATTAAAAGTTTTTGTTTACATAATATGTGTGTGTGTGTATTGTGTATATTTATTATGCATATATAAATATACATACATGCATGTATATATTTAAGAAAAATATGTTATGTTTATATATTAAATATATTTATATATAATATAAATTATATTAATATAAATATATACATGTAAATATTTTCAAAATATATATTGTATGTGTGTATTTATATATACATAATAAATATACACAGTACACACCCATATATTATGCAAACAAAAACTTTTATTTTGGATGCGATTAATCGCGATTAATCGTTTTATAGCACTATAATCCAAGCGCAATTGCAAATCTTGCATTACCGTTTGCATTTTCACTTTCACGAACACACAGTGACTGCCAAATTTCAAACAAAAAAGTGTATTTCCCATGTCTTACGAGTTATAAGCCTGTCATATTTAAATAGCAATATTAATTACCACGTTTGCTTTTTCACTCTCTCTGCATCCTGCATGTAACCTGCCAAAACTCAAATGG